CCAGGACAGCTTGTTAGCTTTGCTGGATGATAGCCAGCTGCAAACCCACTACTCGGGTGACCTTGGTCTCATCTGGTCTCATGCCTGAAGAGCAGGAATAATCTCCTTTCCTGTGTGTCTGTGTTTGTACTCACAAATCCCCACAGACAGTTTATCTAACTTTCAGTGAGGAGGGAAGAGGGAAAAAAAGATATTTTTATGTGTTGACTTAAGAAAAATAACATCTCTGTCTGTTTCTCCCTCGAGGGCCCACAGAGTTAAACAAGTGTAAATGAGGTGCTAAGAAGCTGTGATCACGCAAATACAAATACAGCATCTCTCTTAGATGAAGCACAGAAGAGAGGAGAGCTGCCTCTAGTGTCAGCGGGTCGAAAAGAATGGCACGCAGGCCGAGCTAATGCTGGCTGGTGTGTGAGAACATGGAGGCAGACTTTGTGTCTGCACGCAAGCGCCTTTAAATGCATGTTACTGAAATGTATTCATCTCCTGTTTCAAGTGCTTCGCTGCTGAGTCATGAGTGGACCCAAGAATAAAGCCTGGACCTCAAGTTTGAACAATCTTCAGCCGCCAAGGGAGCTGAGTCACATTTAAGACCGAGATATTGAAGGAAAAGTTCACCCACATTACAACACTGCATGTGATCACAATAAACTCATTTAAGCTTCCCGGTTTGAGGGGATTATTTGGGATTTTTATGCATCTCCTGCAGCAAAACGGATACAAATGGAACTTCATGTGCCCTGCCCACAATGTAGAAAAGAATTACATCTAAATAATTCAACGGTAGCCTGTCTTTCGAGCAACATTGTCTTGGTGGGTAATCCACAGACTACAGTGACAGTGTTCACTGTAACCAGAAGAAAAGGCAGTTTATAACCACTGCGAGCGCTACAAGCTGCAGACTTTATTAAGATGGAAGTGAAGGGTTGAGAAATCTATAAACCTGGACAAAAAGAACAAAAAGGTCTGCATAGCAACATCAGGTTTTTGTAGTCTGAGTGAAGTCCTGTTTATCCTTGAAGAAATTTTACAAACTGCAGCTTTGATTAGGAGGAGGAGAGGGCACTAATAATGAGGTCAAAACACTTAAACATTACTCCGGTAGAATCAAAATTAGCTGCGCCGAACAGTTAAAGTTTATAATTAAATCTTCTGAAAGACTTTTCCAAGTAGCAGGTACATTTGATGGCACCCCTTCATCCAGCCTGTCCTAGTCTACAATGAGCGAGAGGCGGGCATGCCCATCAACAAACCTGTGGCCACTTTTACAGGTGGTGAAAGAAAACTGGACGAACGGAGGGAAGCCATACAGTCACAAACTGCCCCAATGGAAGAGCCGATTCAACCCTGAACCTTTTTACTGTGATGTGCATTTAAAATACTTCATTAACTGAAAGCAGACTTGCTGATTGTGGAATGTGCAGTGTTTGCTTATGAGGGAAGATGCATTATTACATATAAAACCAAGGCTGGATTACCTTGACCCCGAGGGACTCGGAAATTCCCTGGTTCATTGAATGTTAATTAGTTTTGGTGATTTGATTAATGGTGCGTTTGTTAGCAAATTAGCACAGCTAAAGTACAATACCTAAGAAAGTGGGGGGTGGTATTGTTTTGTGAGTGTTTCGGGCCTTTTAAGCAGGGAAGTATGCATCAAACTAATATCTGGGGGGTAGGTAATAATTTGCAGAATATGTGACGGTGATGGTGTCTGGTGAAATAATGAGACAGTGCTGTGTGCTTTGGTATGTATGTATTAAAGAAATATTGGTTTCTTGCAATACAGTCAAGAAGTTTGGTCTAAAGATAAGAAAGTTCACCTACATGCACCTTTAAAACAAACAAACCTGACCAAGAAGAGTACCCCTGAAACTACAACTGGTTGTTTTTACACTCTGTAATTTGTATGTTTAATACATGTACACAGTGTAATAGTTTGTGAACTTTACAGGTGCTGGTGTGCAAACATTAAGGCTAGCTGTTTCACCATTTCCAGTCACATGTTAAGCTAAGCAGTGGCCTATAGTTTCCTATTTACTGTATGAGAGCGTTCTCAATCTTCTCCGCTAACTGACGTGGTTTCTTCCTAATCTTAAATTGACCCTCATGCATATTTTAATAAGATCTGAAGGCAGGGGGTCAAGGACGTAAACAACATGAAAGCACGAATCCATCCTGCCGTGCATCAGGGGTTCAGGTTGTTGGTGGTGTAATGGGGTGGGGGATATTTTCTTGGAACATTTTGGACCTCTTCAGTACTAAATGAGCATTGGATAACCTATAACCTACATTTATCTACAGTAAAGAGCAACAATACAGCAACACCATGTTCTTTATAACTTTATAACCATGGTGTACCATCTGCTTCCAGCAGGATAACACACCATGTCACAAATCTTAGATTATGAGATCCTGTTTCTCTTTATTCTTTATCCTTTATTATTCTAGTTGCTCTGTTTCTTTGCCGCTTAACTACTCCCTCAGTTTTCAGCTGATTTTCACCGTTCAAACTTTAAACTGTTCTGCTATTTCTGCTTTCGACTGCTATATCTTTTGGTGATGATAACTTTTATACTTTTTGAGCTTTTTATGCCATTTTTTGGCCCATTTTGCTGTCAGAGACCACATTATCAGTGTAATCACTAGTTTGCTTGCTGGGCTGAGCCACGTTTTAGCTCAGTGAAATGAGCAGCCGTTCTCAGACTGGGAGGCCCGGGTTCTAATCCCGCTTATGGCAACATTTTCTTCAGTTAACACTTCAACTGTTTTAACTCTTTTCAGCACAAATTCCAGCTTCTTCAGCTGTTTTCAACACAAACTTCAGCTTCTATACCTCTTTTCAGCAGAAATCCTGCTGATTCACCTCTTTTCAGCAAAAAATTCTGCTAATTCACTGCTTATCAGTACAATTTTTAGCTTTTTCACCTCTTTTCAGCACAATTTTCAGGTTCCTTATCTGTTTTTGCTGAACCTTCAGCATTTCAGCTCTTTTAAGCAGCATTTAGCTTCTTTTGCACTTTGAAGATTTTTTCTCTCACATCTTTGTTCGAGTCTGGTTTGGTTCAATGGGAAGAGCGGCCGCAGTAAGATCTAGTGGCACAGGTTCGAATCCTACATGTGACATTTGCTGCACATCTTCCCTGCTTGCATGTACACTGCTTAGTGTACCCTTTCAAATACAGCCATTTTCAGCAAATACTTCTGCTTTTACACCTCTTTTCAGCAGATTATTCTACTTTTGTTGTTTTCAGCAGATTCCATTATGAGGCATTCACACTGCATTTTCGCAGGAAATGCAACTTTTTCTAGTCTCAAACTGGTTTCTTGAACACGACTGTAATCAAACGACCTCCATAGTCACCAAATCTCAACGCAGAGAACACCTTTGGGTAGTGGTGGAACAGGACACATCATGGATGTGCTGTGTGATGCTATTTTGTCAGTATGAGCTGATGACTTTGTAGAATATATGTCACAAAGACTTCAAGCATCTCTGAAGGCAGAAGGAGGTCCAACCTGGTACTAGCAAGATGTACCTCATGAATCAATCAGTGATACATGTGTATACATGTGTTGTTGCCATAGTTTTGTCCCATCTGCATTTTTTATTATTACAGCATAGTTTTATCCATTTATAGCAAGTTATTTTTGTGTCTCTTGACTATGGGTCATTGACCTTAATTTAAACCTCAGGTTGAGAACCACTGCTGTTGTGAGATTATAGATCATTAGCCACCAAAAAGACAGCAAAGGAATAATTGCACAATTTTAATGTCACACAGTTATGTAGTTCCTTGGTTGTTTGTGTCATTAGTCACAAATTCTTGAGAGGAAAAGAGAG